TGGAATTCAAGAAGATGAAAATTGCAAATAATGTTAGCACCTTGGACAGTACCACTATAGGAGAGCCTGGTTGAAGTATTTTTTTCCCTCTGAGAAATATCCCCACCAAGAATGTAGATTTTCCAGTTCTTTCTGCAATTCTTAAGGGCCCCTGACTGCAGGACACCTTGAGTAAGGTCTGATAGAATTGAAAGATAATTTTTCCGGAAAGTGTTGGTGATTTAGCTTTTTGGATTAACACAAGAGCTGAGTGAAAATATAGCTAGTTTACCTTGGGATGGGGAAGAGTAAGAGAAATTATCGCAACAGTATGATTAGGTAATCCCTGTAAAAATGAATAGTGATCAAACTTGTAGGCATTGCCCTGTTTCACCCAACTCAAATCTCTGCTTTGACCATCAGTTAATAAATTTAATCCACTCACAGAGTTGATTGTTTACTTTCCTTATCTTGTTTAGTTCTACTTTTATCATTTATAGTGTTTCTTAATAAATTATAATGCTTTTGAGTGATGATTGTTTTATACCCTGGTCTGGGATCCTGTGTGTTTCCTTCAAGCACTACAACTACTGAATGGCTAATTTTGTTGCTGTACCCTTTTATACTATGAAAAAAGGCTATTGTCAAAAGTTCCATCATCTTCCTTTCACTTCCCCAAACAAAGCAACATAAAGTTGGGTCTTGTCCATTTACTTCTATTAATCAGAACTTCTAGAATCAAATAGCTGCATTTGCATGAAACAATCATCCAGATTATGCATTATTATGCATATTCATTTGCTCTGATACCTGTTATAGTTCATTTTAATTACAGCTATGCTTGTTTAATTGTTTGCTTGTTTGTTTAGTCTGAAGAGCAAAAGCAACTGGAAATCCTTTTTTCATTTTTTTATTAAACAAAAGGTAGTCAACATGAAATAGATGAACCAGAGGTATTGGTGGGCACCAGAAGACAGGCAAATTGGTGCCTATAAGGTCATTGCAATTGTGTCACATTTCACAACTAGTACCAGTATCCACATATAACTAAGAACTCAAGGCTTAAAAGAAAGCCTTGAGTCTTAGAGAAAATTGGCTACTTCTCAATAACTTGAACCCATAACTTATTTCTGGCTGGATGTCTTTTGTGTCTGTGGAGTTGTTGCTTGGTTTGCAGGTATTCCCATTAAGAGTTTCCTATTGGTTACATTTATGAAAAAATGGGATAGGCGAGAAAGGATATCTGTGGCCTTTTGTACCTAATTCTACTTGGTGCATTATTTAAGAAAAAAAAACATTTGGAATAAGACTGGTACATTGGGCAATTCCCCACATTTCACATTTCCCCAGCTTGCTCCATGCTTGTGGTTCCCACTTTAGCTCACTCGTGATCAGAAACATCTGTTGTGCTGTAGTATTGCAGGTTGTTCATCATGGGCCTATGAAGCTTCTGCTGGTAATTAGGATGCTGACTCACTCTGAGTGGCTTTCAGCAAGGCTTTCCATTGCCTGAGTGAGGCTTTTGATGAAAATCAGATCATGATAGGACAATGGTGTAAACAAATAGTATAGTGGGCAGCTGCCAGACTTATGGGATGATACATAAGGTATGGTAGCATATGTTGTGGGCCATTTACTTAATGCCTGCTTTTAGCCCTAGGCTAAAATTAAAATTGTGTAAGTTGCCTAGGTAAATACAGGAATTGAGCCACCCACCAACACACTGCTAAACCATCTGTTCAAGTAAACGAGCCAGAAGAGAGAAGTGCATCCTTCTGAGTTGGATTCCTGTTGACCAACCTTGGAGAATATAGACACAGCTTAGATTGGCTGTAGTTTCTACAAGTACCATTGGTGCTAAGGAATGCCAACACATACTGTGTTGAACCTGCCTAGGGTTTCTGAACCCTGAAGGTTCAGAATGAAGATAGCTGAGCAAGATAGCATAATGGTATCTCTGTCCTCACTTTCTTGAATGTAGCTAGGTCGGATACATGTTGTCACAGTACTTTTGATATTGCTGCAGTACTTTTGCATATGCAACTCACAGAATAGTGGGAGCAGCTGTCTGGTTGTACTATCTGAGATGCATGTGACTGAAGATGAAGAACTGGAGTGATGCCACTACATTGATTGAAGCTTCTCTCTCTGGATAGGAGGAGGCTATCTTAGAAGCTCTCTCCCAAAGTGACTGCAGACTTGCTTTATGGCATGATTCAGTTTCTGTTTTAAGCTTTCCAGGAATCACGTGTGAAGACCCGGGGCAAGGCACAGAGGAAACACAGCCAGCTGATAGTTCAGACTCCCTTTATTTCTCCAACTTTCCCACAAACACTCCCACATCTATGGCAAGTCCCAGAGCAAAGCACTTACACACACAAGCGCACATACACAAACACACACACACACACACACACACACACACACCAGCCTCTGGCTGTGAGTTGTCCAGTAAAACGCTGTTAGCACAACGGCTTCAAAGCAAGATGTCCAGCGAGGCAAAGAAAC